GGAGTCCTAGGCGGGTAAGAAATATGAGTTTCAAAAACAAAAAAAAATGTTCTCTTATATAAATCTTTTAGGAATCATATATGATCCAAATTATGGCCAGCACCTTGTGCCAATATAAAAACAATAAAGATTGGAAATTTATATCTAAACTTGTTTACACAGAAATTGAAAATAATTAGAAAACAATAACTGAACAAATTTTAGCTGCAGCTGTTGCTATTAAATGCATGTATACGCACGTAAATATGTATGTATCAGGGATGAAAAAGTAGGTACAATTGTACCTTTTTCCGACGTTTGATGACTTAAAGGTACATTAGGTACAGCCACTAGATTTTAGGTACAATCATCTTTTGATCAGATGCATTTTTAGTTTTTTTTCTTTTCCCTAACCGTTCATTTTGAGGAATAAACAATTTTAAAGAAAAGTGGTCAAAAGGAAGAAATTAAAAAAGTCATATTATGTATTATCTTAAACATTTTACATTGCATTTAGAGCAGCCACTACAAAAATTAACACTTTGCTTAGCTATCCTCAAATTCGTATTTTTTTGTATTAATTTTAACGGTTATTTTCACTAAGTCAAATTCAATGGCATTGGCGGTCAAATGAGTGAAAACAAATTGTCAAATGGGACTAAAAGATAATCTTTTGATTGATTTAGATCAGAATAGGCTTTCAGGCGTGTACATCCGCTGCTAAAGCGGCTATTTGTAAGTTTTTGGCCCATAATATCATCGATTAAGGTAGGGATAAAGGAAAGAAAGTTGTGTCAAAATATGGCGACAAATTTTGTTGTCAAAATATGACATAATGAAAACCAGCCTTTATTCACACACACAGTTCAGTGTCTAGGATGTCTTCAAATTTCATATTTTCTTTAGATGAGAACTATAGCTATTTGACCCATATTCGCTTTTTGATTTCTGGAAATATATTTAAAATGCTTTCGAAGTTACTTCCTGCATTTGATTATTTTCTCTAGACTTGCTGCACCTATCGAAAGGAATCGGATAAATAAGCAGACTTTTCCTGTTGTTTTATAAAAAGCTGGATAAAGAAGTATACTTCGCAAAGTGTGTTTTTTGTCTTTTTCGCCAATATTTTTCAGTAGCCAAAATTAGACAAAAACATCGCTTCTCCGATTCCCATTAGATTACATGTAGTCCATAGATATAGCCTCAGTTAAAAAAAAAGCATCCATCTTTTGTATACATGTTTTAAAAAACATTTATAAAAAAAAAAACTACAAATGAATGATGTAACTTTTTTAGGTAAATCTGTCTCATTTAGGTACATTTATTTTATGATATTAGGTACAATCTCAAATTTCCATTTTTCAACCCTGGTATGTATGTTATTTGAAAGAAATTTTTGGTGAATGCCTTTGCAAATATAGTGCGTTCAATAAGACTCAAAGAACAACCTAAAATAAGAGTCCGAACGTAGTAATTCTTGAGGCCGATAAGAGTCTCAAAAAGAGTCTGAAATGATTCATATATGAGGCCAAAAGTTGTTTCAAAAGAGTCCAAAATGAGGCCAATAAGAGTCAAATATGACTCATATTGAGGCTCATTTGATGTATGAGTTAAAGCTCATATAAGTCGACCTTCGGAGGAAGGGAAGCAACATCATATCGGACTCTTAAATGAGCTCATTATGAGCGTAAATGCTCCGAAATAGGACTCCTTAACGACTCATTTATGACTTCAGATGTTTGCTGGGTTATAGCTACATATACATATGAACGGACGCTGTTTGGTCTACCAATACATACGCGTACGAACAACAGCGAAAATTTTTTCAACATAACGATCTGGACTTGTTTTATGCTTCTCGTTCGCGAAGGAGAATCAATAGAGAATATTTGATACGTTCACGTTCGCGTATAAAATCATAAATGTATGTACGCGAATATTTCCGAACCCTGGTTTTTTCTAAAATGTGTACATATGTGCAAGGCATATTAAACAAGGTAGAAGTAATTTTGACATTTCTCTCTTTTGAACACCGACTATAATGTCAAATGATGAATAACTTTTAACCCTTTTCAGGTTGGCATTTTCTAATTTTCATTAAAAATTCAATTGTGCTTTGAGATAGTTTTGAATTGTGCGATTTTTTTTTTAGTTTTTCGACCACATGCATTTATAGATACATACATATACAAAAATGAAAAGGAGCAGGAGCGTTGCATTGTGTGGAAAGTGGTGCGATACTTTAAGGCGCCTAGTTGCGAAGTTAGAAGACTTGGTTGCCTGAAGCCACGGAATTTCAGAACTGAGTAAGAGAATTTTGTTACAATACTATGCACACATAACCGAGTCTGGACCTAGATTTACACTTATATACATACGTATGTAGTAGAAAACATTAAATCGTTTTTTATAAGTGGGGATGTTTTTTAGAAGTAACTATTTAACTAAACGCGCAAAAACATTGGGTGAATAGAAACAAAAAAATGTTTAAAACAGTTTCATAAAACATTTATTTCATTTAATGACGTGGTTGCCTTTATGAGGTATTCTTTTTCGTCCATATATATATGTGCATATAAGATGCGAATGCAACTAAAATTCTTTGAAGGTAATATTGGAGTAATCCTAAAAATTAGAATACGTACATACATATGTATGTATTTATGCTGATGCATTTCCATGGTGAAATTATAAGCAGGTGAAGTAATAAAAAAGCTTTCTCTCTTTATTTTCCTGACATGCGGCTATCTTATACAAATTTTTAAAGGCAAATTTTCAAATAAGATAGGGTCAAATCTTTCGTCTCGCTCTTATTACTAAACCTGGTATAATTTCACCGTGATGAGGTTCAATTGATGCTAATTTGTAGCAAACATAGCACGCGCACCTCATAGGGTTAATTTGTTTGTTTACAGTTTTTTGACATTGAATAACTCAGTGAGAGGGGAGACCAGTATGTTTGCATGTATGTATATAAACAAAAATATTTATTGGACCAAAAAGTAATGGGTAGGCACTGTGGCCAATGGTAATCAACTATTACCACCTCCGCATGGTTGTAAGCCATGCAGAGTCCGCAGAAAACTCCGGAAGCAGTGTCCGGAGGATGCATCAGACTAGGCCGAGCATACTTTGAAGTGCCATCTTATTGAAACTTAAGAAAGTTCAATTACTTGGCAGTTGAGAAGTGCATGTGCAAAAATTTCCTAAGTTGCATAAAGGAAATTTTTGCACATGCAGCAGTACATAGCATGTATTTAGGCGCCTGGTGTTAGCAGACGCGCCTAAACATACCGGCCCCCCTAGACGACTTGGTCGTCTAGTGGATATAACAAAAGCCGCAAATATCCGGCTCGAAGGACCATGCGAACGCCCTGGGGCAATGTCGCTCGTAGTTGCACCAAGGGTTTAATTTTGAAATGAAATAATCAAAGGCAAACACCACGGATTAATTCAATATATATAACATAGTGGCTTTATTAGTCAAATTGGTGAAATGTGTATTGTGATTTTTGGTATACAATATTACCTTGAGAAATACGCAGGAGTAGTGGCTGGATCGCTTTCGGTGTGGTCGAAGTGCTCGATAGAAGTGCCCGAGCTTAATCTTGAGCAGTTAAGTTTGACCTCCAAGCAACAAACTGTTTGGAGGGGAAACTTAACGAAGTTTTATATTCAAGCGGTAAACTAATATATGTACATACTAACGGCTTAGCATTAATCAGGCTATTTATGTATATGTGCATCCGTTGCACATTTATGCAATTTTACATTAGGGTGGTTCACCCTTTTAAGTATTTGGTTTAGCATGGAGGCCTAAACAGACATTATAACTAGCTACAAGAGAGTTCGAGCTAGTTGTCACTTCTACCTTGTTAAATATGCCTTGCATATGTATGTATAATATAATTTAAGACGCTGGCCCAATGCAGGCTTGCTTTGCGCGCCTTGCTGACTTCAATTTGCTTTGATTTACTTTGAAAACTTGCTTGGCCGAATGGTGGCTTGGAACGCTGTCAAAGTAACCAGCTGTCTGGTTGAAAAGTCAATGTCTGTTCCCTTAACGTTAATAATTATTTCCTAGAAAACTCTAAAAAATGTATCAAAAACTTTCAGATTTATTTTTAAATTAATGCGAAATAATGTTTGTATTTAAAATAAATGATAATAATGATACATACATATCAATATCTACATTTATTAAACAAAAACTATAACTTAAAAAAGCGATTTACTTGAAGAAAAGAGCTATAAAAGTTTTTTCTCTCGAGTAAAATTTGTAAATGTGGGCTTTGCATCGTTTTACTATAAGATATGTTAAATATAAATATAGAAACAATGAATCATTTTTATTTAATTTCGAATTACCTGCATTTTCTGTGAATTTTTTAAATTAGGTAAGCAATTTTTTGTTTGAATTTATGTATTTTGAAAGAACATACCTCCTTGTCAAAATCCTACAAAACGCTTTCAAATAAAACATTTGCTTATTTCAAACTTTGAGGCGCTTAAAGCAAGTGAAGAAAAGCTGCCATTTGGCCAGCTTTTATACATTTTAGTATATTCCAAATAATTTTTGACACTTCTCGCAGCGAAGCAAGCAAAGCAAGCCTGCATTGGGCCAGCACCTTTAAGGGCCATTCACATACAACTTTCCTCGCTTTGCTTGACAGTTCAAACTTTGACAACAAAGCGTGAAACGCAGAAGGTATGCTACAATAAACGTTTTGACAGCTTTTGAGTTCTCCTTTTCTTCCATATTTTTTATCTCTAAAATAGATTGCAATATAATAATATGCATTAATAATAGCAATAAAAATCCCTATTTACCCTATTTTTATGTAAGCATACTCATGCATATGCCTACATCGATCTTATATGTCAAAGCAAAGAACTATCAAGCAAAGCGAAGAAAGTTGTATGTGAATCAGCCTTTAGAATTCCCTTAAATTTCATAATAATACCTGACAATTTTTATTAAAATTTTAAATTTATTTATTTTTTTTTTTATATTGTAACAGCAACATGGATCCTTATATTGGTCACGACATGGAGTTAAAACATTGAGGAATTTGAATTCGGATAAATTTCTTCACGTTCAAATAGATGATTCCGCTTTTACGGTGAATCGTACGCCGATTTGGATGGATGGCTCAACAGAGAAGCAGTGCGTAGAAATGGAAACTGCAATCGGTGGTCGGGCAGAGATGCTTAATATTTCAGGTTCAAAGTGTTATGCTCGATTTACTGGCCCACAAATACGTAAAATTTACCAAGAACGTTCCAATGCCTACGAAGAAACGCAACGAATTTCTCTGGTTAGCAGTTTCTGTGCCTCTGTTTTTCTTGGTGATATTGCGCCTATAGACTACGGTGATGCATCAGGCATGAATCTTTTTGATATCAAAGCAAAAATTTGGTCTAAACAATGTCTAAACGCATGTGCTCCTGACCTAGAAGATAGATTAGGCAAACCTGTTCCCACTAGCGCCATAATTGGTAAAATTTGTAATTTTTTTGTAGAACGGTTCGGATTTTCTCCTGAATGTATAGTGACTGCTTTTACTGGCGACAACCTATCAGCGTTGTCTGGAATGGTGCTTGAGCAGAACTGTTTAGTAATGTCTTTGGGGACAAGTGACACATTAATAATGAATTTAAAAGAGCAGCCACGTTTAGAAGAAGGACATGTGCTATGCCATCCCACCGAAATAGGCCACTTTGTGGGACTGATGTGGTAAGTTAATTTATTAATTCATTTAACTAACTTATTTATTTCTATTATAGCCATGGTTATAACCAGGGACCCAAAATAATCGTTATCATGAAGGATTTTTATTTAAAAATCATTGCATAATCGTTATTTTTTTATTTATATAATTACGATCATTTTTAATCGTTATTTTATGATTTTTATTTTTATCATATTTTCAGGGTTAATCTTGTCTTATCCTAGAAAACCAAAAAAAAAAAGAGTGTAGTGTTGACAATTAAAGCAACAAACGTAGACCTAAGATAACCTCAAGAACCACAAAATAAAAGTTCAGCAGGAAAATGAAAACAAAAATTCTTTGATTCATTGCAGGTGATTGTATTGTTCAGACATGGGCACTTTTTTGCCCGCGCAGTCGCGAAAGTGCGAGCGCGGGCTGGAGAAAGGGAAAAACAGTTTACGGGAGGAAGGGTATGAAAAGTTCCGAAAAAGTTATTTATATCCCACCAACATCATGTTCATCGCAGTACGGCTGCGGTCAAGAATGATAGAATACAAGATTGCGCCGATTGCAGCAGAATTCGTGAGAGTAATTTAAGCGTGACGTCACCGTAGAGTTGACAACTGAGAGCGGCAAATAAAACTGCTGTCTAGTGATCTGCTGAATTGTCGGTACCCAATACTTAAAACGGCCTCGGTACCCAATACTTCCTTATCGGTACCCGATACTGATTCTTTACATTAAACCTTCGCCATTATACGCATTTCAAGTTTAGAAAAAACTTTCATTACTAGTTTATATGATATCGGCTAAAACACTTGAACTTATCGCAACAGAGAAATATTATTTTATCAGTTTTAACCCTAGTCGATCCAAGGTTCAAGAAAAACACTTTGACGGATGAAGAAGGCTTTCAGTGGGGGCGAGATTCTGTAACCAGTTAGCGACAAGTTTCGTCAACAAAACCGATACCGATTCGAAAATTGTCGCTAACTGGTTACAGAATATGTCGCTAACTGGTTACAGAGTCTGCCTACAGAAATGAGATCGTCCGATTCAGCTGGAACAAAAATGCTTCAAATAAGTAAGAGTTTCTTTGTATTATGGCCTCGAACCGACATATATACATCTTTCATTTAAATCTATATTAAAAGCTCTATTGGCTCCTATATTCGGGTTTTG